AATATTCCTATCAATATAAACAATTGAAACAAACATTAGAAGCTTTCAAGATAAAAAAGAATATGATCTCAAGTCATTTTCTTAGAAATATTTTTACACCTGTAATTAAGTTGAAAGAAAAACAAATTATTTTACCTTTGAAAATCTCTCGTTTTTTTATTTTATTTTTTCAATAAAAGTTAATAAAAAATATGAAATCTGCAACAACTATGCTGTCACAGTTCTATCACATTTTAAACTAATATCGAACTACTTGGCCCGTGCAAATAATTCGCAGAAAATTTTGTTTAGTGAAGAAATAGCTAAACAATATGAAAATAAGTAGTTCCTATTTATTATGTAAAGAAGGAATTAATATTTTTTCCTTGATCGATTACAATATACCATTAAACATAATAGACAAAAATATTCTTACAAATTGTTTTGCTAAGACCAATTTTTAAACGCTGAATGAAAAGATAATAAAAGTAATAAAGGCAAAATAATGCCCCGATCATGGGATTATCTAAATTATTTAAAAAAATAAAATGTAAGAACAACCAAATGTCTTTAAGAAATAATAAAGTTAATATATCAGCCAGGAAAAAAAGTGTAGTAGACTATTCTACTCCTAAATGCTATATTTTTAAACAGGAAGACATTATTTAGTATGTCAAAACTAATGGACTGTATCTTTGTTAATAATTGTCCGATTTTTACGTCAATACAAATTGTTTAAATTATACATATTTCTTATCGATTTTTAAGATTTTTTTTTGTTTGTTTTGTAGGTAATTTAGTAATCTTTCTAATTATCATGGGTACGATCGATTCATAACTTTTTTCCTAGAAATTTCGGAGGGATAGGACTATTTTTCGCATATGAAGAAGAATATCTTCAAAATGAGTGGTCAATCATTGGATTTGATGAAGACTTGACGAAGTTATGGCGTACCGACAAAAAAAACACCTTTTAGAAATAATATACAGGAATAAATTAAGAAAATTACAATTTTAGAAATTAAAGGACACACGCATTTAACTTTTTTTTTCCAAATAGTTCAAACATTATAAAATATATTCAACGTAGTTGTTTCTTGTTTGAAATTAAAGTGCATAGATTTTTTTTTACTTATGCCCTTGACTTTTCGGCTTCCACCGTGTGTCTTCTAGCAGCTTTTTGGTCTGTTATGTGCGACAGCTGTGATCGTTTAGTTCTTTGACGATATCCAGGGACCACGGGCGGATCTACGGGGGGGGGGCTTTCGGGCTGAAGCCTCCCCCAAAATGGAAAAATATAACCATGTTTTATGGGAAAAGAAAATTAAAAAATACCTCTTAAAGTATTATTGTTCGTGTAATTACATTTAAAAGTACTTAAGGAATAACTTAAACACCATTTCATATACGTAGTTAGTTTCTTTCTGTTTTTCCAAAGTAATTATCGTTATTTTTATGAAAAAAAAAAAGGTTTCGGGATGAAGCCCCCCCCCCCCAAAATTAAATCCTTGATCCGCTAGTGCCAGGGACTACGTGGTTTACAATAACAGGAATGCTATTATAATCGCGTCCTCTTCATGAGGGACTTTCCTGAAGGATGGTTGGCAACTTCTTCAGCAATATCCATTCTGTTTTTTAATGAGATAGAGGAATTTTAGCCAGCCACCAACCTGGAAGATCAGGAACTATGGTGTAAGAGACAGGGGTTGCTCACCTCAATGTTAGTCTCTGAAGGGGAACTTTACCGGAACATGTGGGAATCGAACCCGCGATGTAGTGGTCTAAGCAATCGAGTAAGACCTGTACTGTATTTTTATTTTTATTATTTAACCCCACGAACTGAATTCTAACTCATGAAATAAAATTTTTGCAGGCGCCTTAACTTCCTCGACCACTGCCTTTTCCTATATAGAAATGCAGGTAATTTATTATTTTATTTACATAAATATATTTTCCTGATAATGAAATTTTTTTTATTATTTATTCAGTAATTTTTCTTAGTGCTCATTATCATATTTGACGTAAATAAAAAAAAAATAAGAAAGTAAATGATTGGCCTGTTTGTTTCCTCGAAGCACTTTTCCTTGTCTGTTCTTAGAAATCCAGACAATGACGGGATGATGGGAATGCTAACGATCGTCATTTAAAATGGCTCTTATAAAGATAAAAAAATTATATTTTATTCTTAAATAAGTTAATAGATTTATTTTTTCATATTTAAAATTTTGAAAATAAAATTAAAATAATACTATATGGAATACTAGCTGATGTACCCATCATTGACGGGTGTATAGTTAAAATTTGAGAATCTTTTTTTGAGATGGATATTGTATTATGGGGAGAATTTTTATAAGTTTTTCTTCCGATTTCCGGCTAATCCGTTTGGTTAATCCTAAAAATGTATACGACAATATTTGTTAGGCTCGGGATGTTGGATAGATGACACCTTGAACGGGAAGATCGCGAAAGTGGAAAAATGAGTGTTTTAAGCGCCAACGCGTTACAGATGTTTGGTATTTCGGATTTTTCCCGTTGAGTTGTGATAATTTTTTCCATCAGTTGAATAGTACAACTGTTAAATATAGCTCACGGTAGAGTAGGTTGGGATGACAATCGAAGTAACTGCCTAACCGGGATCTATAGAAAAATTACTCAAGAATTCATAACTCTGGTTCGATTCAATATTTTGTTTTCATTTAAAGCCTATGTTTTAAGTCAAGTAAACCTTAATATAATGTAAAAATTTCAAAAGTCTACATAAGCCATTGCTGAGCTTACCTCTGACAAAATTTCGTTACAATGCGGACATACACACAGATAAAAAAATGTTTTAAAAGTGGATTTGGTGTCTGTAATGTATGAAACGGAGAGATATCATGAAACGGGTTGATTCAATTTAATATACAGACAAAACCGTTATTTTATTTATATAGATGTTCTTTGACCTATAAACATATGTCTATTATTAACATCTATTATGAAATTTAACCGAGATCTCTAGACAAATTACTCAAGAATTCATAACTTTGGTTATACTCAATATTTTATTTTCATTTAAAGCCCATGTTTTAAGTCAAGTAAACATTAATATAATGTAAAAATTTGGAAAGTCTACAATAGGTCATTGCTGAGCTTACTCCTGACAAAATTTCGTTGCGATGCGGACATACAGACAGACAAAAAAGTTTTTAAAAGTGGATTTGGTGTCTGCAATGTATGAAACGTAAAGATGTCATAAAACGGATTGATTCTATTCAATGTACAGACAAAATCTTTATTTTATTTATATAGATACTGGAAATAAATAAATGATAGAAAGTCAATTCATCATATAGTGATTCCAACACATATCGATAACAAGGAGTCAAAACTGACTATTGAGTTTCTCAATTTCTAATGTGATATCTGTTCTAGTGCCAATTTGCACAGCTTTGAAAAGGATATAGATTTTCTTTGCTCCAGTAATACTATCCCACAAACTGCCGAACATGTGCTAACGAACTACATATTGCCTTTGAGACACTTAGTGCCAAGCTAATAACAATACTGGTATCTACTGTCCTGACAAAGAGGAATTTCCTCAACTTGTCTCTGACCAACTTGGAACTGCCCTTACTTTGAAGCCTTCGTGTGCGGGTGGAAGGAAGTTGTAGGCGTAGCCCATTTCATTTTGGAAACAAGTAGAAGAAATCAACAATTTCTCATATGCGAGGGTTTCGGGCTGAAGTCCCTACCCCAAAATGATAAAATATAACCATGTCTTATAAAACAAAAAAAAATATCTTTAAAAGTATTATAGTTCGTGTAATTACATTTAATAGGACTTCAAGAATCACATAAACACTATTTTATATAAGTAGTTAGTTTCTTTATGTTTCTTCCAAAATAATTATCCCAATATGTATAGAAAAAAAGAGCTTTTGGGCTGAAAACGTCTCCAAAATTACACCCTGGATCCACTACTGTACGTCCCTAAGCACTATTTGTTCTACAGTGGTAAATTAAATGGAATAGGTATACCGCAAAATACTTTGACAGAACGATTATAATACAGCCGATAAAATAATACAGTTTCTTGCCAGAATATACTTTTTTTTCCTTTGAAAAGAAACAAGAAACAAAAATACAAGCATAGTGAAATAACTATACATTTGTTTGTTCCATAATTATACAAAATATTTCGACTGAACGATTATAATACAGCCGATAAAATAATACAGTTTCTTGCCAGAATATACTTTTTTTTCCTTTGAAGAGAAACAAGAAACAAAAATACAAGCATAGTGAAATAACTATACATTTGTTTGTTCCATGATTCACGAAATGCTACACGTATCTATATGGTATAGAAATTAGAGTTTTAGAAATATGAATGCTTAACAATTTTATGATAAAAATCAAAGATCTCAAATTAATTTCAATTCAATGAGTTTTTTCAGTTAAATTCGTAGTATAACATCTTCTATAAAGACACAGGCGGATCTACGGTAGCGGGGAGGCTTTCGGGCTGAAGCCTCCCCACCCCAAAATGGTAAAATGTAACCATATTTTATGGAAAAATATATTTAAAAAATATCTCTTAAAGTATCATTGTTCGTGTAATTACATTAAAACGGACTTAAGGAATCCCTTAAACACCATTTCATATAGATAGTTAGTTTCTTTATTTTTTTTTCCATTGTAATAATCGTCATTTTTGTGAAAAAAAAAGCTTTCGGGCTGAAGCCTCCCCCAAAATTAAATCCTGGATCCGCTAGTGTATAACGATATATTAACTATACATTTATTAAGTAATATATGAATTCAAAGGTGTGTTTAGACATTTCACAAACTGTGGGAGTATTTAGTATTTATATTTCCATCTGTTGTTGATATCAAGAGAAATGAAATAAATACAATAGTTTGGTTTAGTAATGATGTCATTGTTAATTAAGTTCGATAATTGTTTTTTTCATAGTTTGTGAAATGTATAAACGCACCTTAAAATTTTTAGTTTTTTTCTCTTCCCCCCCCCCTTTATGATTTTTAGATGATACACAATAAATTATTTACAGCAAGAAAATTATATATCGATTACTCCATATGAAGACAGATAAATAACACTTAACCTGAATCTTTAAAATATTAAAAAGTGCTCATTTAGAAAATTTTAACTTGATGAATAATATAAATTGAAAAAATAAAAATAGAATGATAACAAATTGATCGATGTAGAGGAATCGATTTACTAGCCGCTTGCGCTGGGCCAGGTTAGCATTCTGACTCAGGGTCGTTTGATAAAGGATGGCTATCAGTGGCCTGATGTCAGGTTGTGTCGGGCCTTCACTGGCCAAGGTTTGAAGGCAGTTCGTCTCGATCCTCGCCCGAGTCAGTTCGTGATCTATATTTGTTATTGCCTAATTGTTGCGTATGACCTTGTCGCCCTAGGGCGTTATTGATTCCTATTAATCTTAGTTTAAGGCGTACCAGAATGAGATTGCGTCACTTTGGCACGGTAGCCTCTGTTTTAATATTGCTACCGTTTTGCCTTTTCATCGCAACTGCTACCGACGAAGTTGTAAAAAATGTCGAGAACAAGTCCAACAGTTCTGTCAGTGCACCTCCCCAAAATGTCTCTGTGTCCAGCACATCTACAACAGTTACCTCAGCTACAACTCCCACATCGACTTCTACACCTAAACCAACTGTCAAAGGAAATACTGAGAATCATGTGATAATAGTTGATGGTGGTTTGGAGAAAAATGTTACTTGGAATGAAGTGAACGGTGGGAAAGAAGTGAAGAAAATTACTTACATCACTAGTGATTCAAGTGGTATGAATAACAGTAGTAAAATCAAAACTATCATTCCAGTTAATAATACTGCTCAGGGCAATCAGTCTGCCAGTGATTCTAAAAACGCTCTGAATTCATCAACTACCGAATCTCCTGCTTCGAGCACAACCACAAAAAAGCCAAATGTCACTACCACGGCAGCTCCCAACGAACCCATATTGCCTGAGAAAGGGTCTGCGGAAGCAGAACATAACAGCTCTATGGCCATCTTTTTCGTATTGTGCGTTTTAGCTATCGGAATCGTACTGATTCATTTCATGCTTATGACACATTTTCAATATTTACCAGAAAGTGTAGTTATAGTCTTCCTTGGAGCTTTGATTGGTTTGATCTTGAATCTAATGTCAGATCAGAACATTGGAAATTGGAGGAAAGAAGAAGCCTTCTCACCGACTGCTTTCTTTTTAGTTCTCTTACCTCCTATCATTTTTGAATCAGGATATAACTTGCACAAAGGTAACTTTTTTCAAAACATTGGTTCAATTTTGGTCTTTGCGATAGCTGGCACCACCATATCAGCTCTTGTTATTGGTGCTGGTATCTACTTACTAGGTCTGGCTGATGTGGCGTACAGACTTAGCTTCATGGAGAGCTTTGCATTTGGTTCACTGATCTCTGCAGTCGATCCAGTTGCAACCGTTGCAATTTTTCATGCCCTCGATATTGATCCGGTGCTTAACATGTTGGTGTTTGGCGAAAGTATATTAAATGATGCCATAGCTATTGTCCTTACTACTTCTGTATTTGAATCAGGCAATCCTAACATGTCATCGTCTGAAGCTGTCTTAGCTGGTATCAACAGATTTTGTCTGATGTTCTTTGCCTCTGCTGGAATAGGAGTCGTTTTTGCTCTAATTAGTGCTCTGTTATTAAAGCATGTCGACTTGAGAAAAAATCCATCTTTGGAGTTCGGCATGATGCTTGTTTTTACATACGCTCCATATGCCTTAGCTGAAGGAATTCATTTATCAGGTAATTTTTTTTTTTTTTCTTTAGAATAGTACTTAAGTTGTTATCTTTCATTGATTTTTGTATTTTTCTGATTTATATTAGTATGATGTTATGGATTTTAAATATTGTGTCTGACTTTATGAGTTAAATCTTTAGATATTATACAATAAATACTATGTTGGAGTGACACTAATAAAGTGGTACCTGATAAACAACAAAAAAGTGGGGAGAAGAGAAGAATTGTTATTTTTTAGATGATTCATTCCTGTAGTATGGGAAAAAGCAAAACAAACAAATTAACTAGAAAAAAGGTGCACTGTTTAAATTTACTTTTCACCATCAGTGTCAATTGTATATTAACGCATAACAACTATTCCCATTAACATTAACTATTCCCGTAGGAAAAAATGCAATATAATTATCTTGTATATAGTTGAGCATCATTCTAATATTACTGGCTATTATTACATATTTTATGTTAATCAGATAATCAATAAATGCTGATTTGATTGAATGCAGAGTAAGCAAACCATGGATGTAACTTTGTAAGACACATGAGTACATCAACTATTTTATAATTTTAAATTTAACTTATGCTATTCATTGGCAAGTTTAAAAAATTGTGATAATTAAAATTTAATCAGTCAATTATTATGTTTACATAATAATCAAATTTACTTCAATATTTAAATTATATTCAATGATATTGTCGAGGCACTTTTTTTCCCTGTACTTCTTGTTTTATACTTATTATGATCAAAGATGTATTTTTGGAGTATTATCTAAAAAAAATCCATATTTAATTTGTTGTTTCTCCAATTTAGTTTAGTAATTTTATTAAGGATTTCATTAATACAATAGGACTTATAAAACAAAACTTTATTTAATTCTTAATTTTTGATTTTATAAAGTAAATTAAGAGGTCCAAAAAAATATATATACATTGTCTCAGGATCTTATTCAATATCATGGTCATTTTTGGAAATTAAAGCTAGAGATCAATATCACTGGCCAAAAAAATATGTATGTAATATGCATACATAATACATATGGTCTGGTTTATCTTTTTGGCCTACATTGAGTACATCAACTCTGGCACATCTTTGTTTACAGTCTAGCGATGATTCATTACAATTGGTGGAATTTCTTTCCCTATCATACTTTCTTATCACTTATAACTTCACAATTTTCTGTGAAAAAATTCGGCTAAGAGTGGAGAAAACATATTTTTAGATATATATTGCAACACATTGCATGATATTTTTTCTAGTCTCCAATTAAATTAATAATATAATAAATATATATATATATATATATATATATATATATATATATATATATATATATATATATATATATATATATATATAAGTCAATTAAATTAAATCAGGATTTATCTCTGTTAATCATACAATATGTGAAAATCGGTTATATACCTAATATGTATGTATTATGATGATGATAAAATATATATAATAATTATATTGCAATTTTTCCTATGTTAATAGTTAATGCTTGTCATATAATATACAGTAAATAATAATATTATGCCTTATTCCTAGTCACTCGAACACAGATGTACACAAGATCTAAAGATTTAACATATAAAATTATACACAAAATTTATAATCTATAACATCATTTATATAATATAAATAAATAACATAATATAACAATAACTTTGTTAAAGTTTTTATCATAAATTTAAAAATTCATATTCATGAAGTTAAAGAAGATTTCAAGAACGTAACAGGGAAATTCCCCAGGTTAAAAATATTAATTGTTTCTTCTGTTACTGAGAAATTCATGCTTTGAACCTTTGGAATGCTTCCCAAGCTGCCTTTTCTTTTCAGTTTTCGATCCAAGTTAGTATCTTTAAAAAATGTCATGAATTTGTGGTCAAATTCATTCCATGACCGTAATTCACTTAATTTGAGGATTTTTCCCTGTTACATACTTGAATGCTTCTTTCTCTCTTTCTTCTTTTACTTTGTGCATATACACCTTTTTTATTTTATGATAACAACTTTGACCAAGTACTTCATCAATTTCTAATTGATGTAAGGAAAGAAGACAAACGGTTTCTCACATTGAGCCAATGTTCATTTTAGACATTTTTCTCATCAGATTTAAGGGTTCTTGCTCGTCCTTAATCTTTTATTTAATGACTCCTTCAATCTCTGCTATCCAGCATACATTTAAAGTAAAAACACTTGCCCAATTAGCCCAATTATATTCTTGCTTTATGGAATGCATTTTTGATGGGGATGAAAAGGAAAATATTATCTAGCATAATGGAGACAACCTCTCGTCACTACATTTCTATGGTACCAAAAATTATGACTTATTCGTTCATATAATTGTATTGCTGTAAAAAAAGCTAATTAAATTTTTTCAAAATGATTTTTGTATTCATCAGGCAAAAACCTATTACATAGCGGTATTTTTGAACAAGAAATATTTTCTTTGTTGTCAGTATATCGAGTAGTAAAATATAAAATTGTAAATAAGCAGTTATAAACTTTTAATTTTCATTCTAAATAAAGAAGTAAGAAAACAACGTAATATATAATGAAGTTTTTAAAAAGCATTATGTGTGATAATGATAATTACATGATAATTTAATCTTTCCTTGTTTTTCTTAATTGTTTTGCTGAAACAAAAGAAAGTATGAATTTTAAATTTTATTGTTATAAATTAATTAAATCGTTTATTTCCCAAGTGAACCCTAATTCTTACTGAAAATTTTTCAAGAAACTTGAAAACTATTTTTTCTATTCAAATTGTAATGTCAAAACCAATATTTAAAAAAAAAATTAAATTAAGAAATTCTTTATTTGTGCAACATATTTCTGAAAATCGCTGATAATTCCAGTAGTATTTAAAATAAACTTGAATAGAATTCCTATTGTAAATAAATAAACTTCAAATCCCATTTTTGAAAAAAAAAAATAAAAAAGTTATTTGTGGTTTGTTTTGAAGAGAAAAAATGGTGTGTAGTTTGGGGAGAGGAGAGAAAGGGAGTTAATGGTACAATAAAATAAATAAATTTTTAATTTTCATTTGAATAAAATGATTAGAAAATCTTTTGATGAATTTTTTTTTTTTTAAGAATAGTTAAATAATACAAATTTCATTAGATTCCTTGAAAACAAACCCCTTTTTTGGAAATAAACTTACTTTCCCTCACTTCTTTAAATATTTAGACCCGTTAAAAAAAAAAAAAAATGATCGCACCATTGGATTCGTTGGGTGTTTTTACATGAGAATCAATACTTATCTCAATCTTCATAAAAATTAATCAGAGTTCACTTTGGAAATAAATTACTCAATTGTTTAATATTAAAATTTTGAAATTAGTTGGTTTTTAGTTCCTTGTTAAAAAATTTCTTTAAGAAGTTTTTTTTCTCTTACTGATTGAAATTGATAAAATATTTTTTATTTTTTATTTGTTTGTCTTTTATTGAAATACTGCAACAAATAAAAGTTATTATCGTAAAAGCATGTAAGATTTGTGTGATCATTGTTTCATATTTCTATAGTGTTATAATTTTAATCATCTTTACACTGAGCTATTTTATTGTGTCTATATGAAATGCTTTTTTTTTTTTTTTTTTTTTTTTACGAGTTGTATAATCATAAAACGTATTTAGTTTGTCTTATTTACCTTTAATAATCCTCTGCATTATCTGAGACAGTTTTTTTTATGGCCATTATGATAAAGTGTTATATGAATCATTTTTATGTTCTTTTAATTTCAAAATGATGTTTTTCACCTCAGTAAACACCTTAAACAGAATATAATTTTAAATGGGAAAAATTATCATTATATATTTAAATATCACTACTGTTAGTACATAAGGTCGTATGTAAAAATTTAGTTTTTTTTTTTTTGAAGATCATAAAAACCGATTATTCCTTTATAACTTATTATATTTTATATTTATTTGCCTATTCAGCAGACTACTTATAGCAGTCACAAATTACAAAATTCACCTTTAGCACAAAGAGAATAAACATGTAAAATTGTTAGATATAACCTTTTGCACTTACAGTAGCGATTTAGTATATATTATTTAATATTTGGCCATAGTTATGCTATAAGAGATACATTTTGATTGAATTGTTCATATATACAAGAAGTGTATTCATGTATACACTTATTGCATGACCTACTCAAACAACCTAAATTGCAGGTTGGATTTTTAATTGTATAACTGTGGCCATGTACTTTATTTTACTAAATTTGTTAGTGCTGAAAAAATTAATGTTATCTACTTTATATATTTCTTGCTAATTTCTTGAAATGATAATTTTGCATATTCATTTATGATTTTACTAATTTATAAATAAATAAAAATAACTATTAGATTAAGCTCTGGTTCACTTGAATGAAAGAAGACTGAAAGAAATCGCGTTGTCGATTTAAAACAATATTATTATAAATTATATCTGTTTATTTCTTGTATATTTCTATTTAAACCTGCAATATCCTATGGAAAAACATTCATCATTAGATGAAACATGCTGTAAACACCTGTACTAATAATTAAATACTAAGGCAATACAGACAGAAAAATCCTGCATTTTTGATAATGCATATTAACTCCTTAAAGAATATAGGTTATTGAGATAATAGGTTATTAACCTCTAACGTTATCTAATGAATGAATTTAAAGAACGTTAACCTAAAGTTATCTTTTTATTGTTATTTTTTATTACGGGTTTGATTACTGACACTTGCTTACATATACAAGATTTTTTATTATATATATGTAGATTAGTAGGAATCATGACTTCGATTCTTTGGCTATGGTTTCATTAATATTCAAAATTGAAATTCTGAGTAAATGCTGTTTGGCTGGGACGGCCTTTGTTCTTAGATTAGGTATATTGTTATGTTATTTTGCTCTTAACAAACTTGTTTTCTTCATTGATTGTTACTTGCCTGAATTACTGAATTATTTTTTCTACAAATTTACTTCTTTAATTGTGATTATGATTTTACTTATAGGTTTTGAAGTGTATAATTAATAATATATAATAATAATAATACTTTATTTATTCTGGGACGAGTCCCTTTAGAATAATACAGAAAGACAGAAATGTGGGCTAAGGAGCCTTAGTGATACATAAACAAAAATAGAGAGTAATTAAATAGTCATAGTACAAAAAATATAAGTTACTTTCTAATTTTCATCATTTAATAATAAAAAATTGAAAAAATAATAAAGAATGATCTAATAATTTATATACATATTTACAGTAGTATCTATTTACAATTTTATGGGGATTGGATGGATAATAAATAATTAAACAGGTGGTAGGAAGGGTATTGGATTGACGGATATGTGAAGGTATGGAGTTCCATTGGGATGATGAAGGGCTAATGAACGATCTGTCTAAAGCAGCTGTTTGGTGGGCCCTTTTGTATAAATCAGAAGACCGGGAATTAGTATTACGGGAGCGAACAGAGGATTTGAATTGAAGGAGCTCGGAGATGTATGAAGTGTGGTGGGATTGGATGACTTCAAAGAGGAAGGATGCCAGGAAATAATTACACCGGTAAAGCCACTTAGGAAGGATAAAGCCACTTCAACTCTGCATAAAAACGGGAAACAGAAGCATCCTTATACGACTAAATTTTTCATTATTGAACTTAATCATCATCATTATCCCCAACTCGACAATCCATTATTGGATTTTGGCATCCCCAAAAGTTTTCCTCCATTTTCTATGTCCTGAGTAACTCTCTACCTGTTCCTGATTCCAAGAATTCTAACATCTGCATCGGTTCCATCTATTTATCTCATCTTCAGTCTTCTCACTTTTCTTTTTCCACTCAGTTTCATGTTGAGCAACTTCTTTGGAGTTGAGTTCTCGCCCATTCTCGTGTAAGTTGGCTAGTTCTTGGTCATGTCTTATTCTCCTTTACTGGGTCAAATATTTGTCAAAGGACCTTTATTTCAAAAACTAATATTTTTCTCTCACTGGCCTTCGCCATTGTTCTTTTTTTTATACCCTTATGTCAGAACTGGTCTTATGAGGGATCTGTACTGGAGAAGTTTAGTTGATTGTAGTAGTGCACGTTTTTCCAGAAACTTTAGTAGACCATAATTTCAAGGATGATTCTGTCTATAGAAAATAGTTATTTTATTGTTTTATTTAGAACTTTTCCACTACTGTGATTATACTTGACCTAAATATCCTTTAAGATATTCTTCCATCCTTCTAATGCTAATCTAATGCTTGTTCATCTCTGATGCCATGCCCCGCCAGGCTTTCTTCCACTGCATTTTTCAATTTTACTTCCAGTTCCATACATATCTTTGCTAGTCTTTCAGGTGTCATTCTTTTCACATGCCCAAACCAGCATGACCTTTAATAATTTAATTAATTTAGAAAATATTAATTCTAAATTTAAATATTGATAATAGTATTCTTAAAATATAGTTTTTTATTATAAAATATAGTTTTTTTTTTTCCACATTACAGTAACCCTGTACTGAGTGCATATATTTCTACGTATACCGTCTTGCAACATAACGCGTATTGATATACATAGTTTGTTTAAGTAACATAGTATTGATATATTACAATTCTTTGAATAATTAGAAAATAAAATAAATAAATGTGTATAACAAATTATAGCAACCTAAGTAAATAATTAAATATAATATACAATAACTGAAATGATAAACAATAGTGATACATTAGAGATTAGATAGTTAAAAGTAAAATATTTACAGCATAAATGTGATATGGTAGGATAAAAACAAAGGATAAAGATTTAGGATAAAAATTGAGGGTTACAGAGTATGTACGATTTGGTAAAACAACTGATGTAGGAAATGTTGAGGGGTGATTAGGCAGCCGTTTGATCATTAAGCTCAGAGAAATTAATGCGTTCCTCAAATGCATCAAATTCTGAGAAATATTTTTCAATCAGATCCTTCTTTGAAGGCGGCCATTTTTCTACGTTCACGATGACAGCAGAGACCAATTTGTATCTGTATTTATCCAATCTAGTGCAGTCATACAGGAGGTGGTCGTATGTTTGCTCACTGTTGCCGTCGCATTTGCAAATTTTGTTGTCAGTTAACTTGAATCTGAATAAATAGCTTTTGGCTGCTCCTTGTCCTGTCAAAAATTGTACTAGTTTAGGTGATAATTTTTTAAGTTTGATTCTTTCTCCTAAATTTTTAATGTTTTCGTAAGTGTCTCTGCCTTTTGTTGATGTTGCCCAGATTTGGTAAAATATAGTTGTAGTATTATAAAATATAGTTTAAGGAATAATAGACATTCTGTTCTAAAATATGTTTTTTTTATTATTTCAGGAATAATGGCTATTCTGTTCTGTGGTATTGTGATGTCCCATTATACCCATTACAATTTATCTACGGTTACTCAGATCACCATGCAGCAGACAATGAGGACGCTTTCATTTATTGCTGAAACTTGTGTCTTTGCTTATCTCGGACTGGCAATATTTAGTTTCAAGCATAGGTATGTGTATTCATTTTATTTTTCTTCCTTTTGACATTAAAAAAAAAAAAAAAAAAAAAAAATAGATACGTTATAAAAATATTATTTTATTTCTTTGTTTTTATTGTTTTCTTATTTAAAGTTTATTTATTTTAGTTGTTAAGTTACAATTTTGAATACGTTGATTTGTCAAATTTAACTTCTTTAATAATTTCTTTGATTGCCTTTATAAAACATTTTATTTTGAATTATAATCAATTCATATATATATTCAGCTATCAATTTATTGTATTTTTGTAAAAAAGAAATGTGCTTATAAGTTGGCATAAATATGTATAATTTATTTTTTCATTTATTTTAGTTTATAATTTAATTTATTCTGTATTAATGCATTCACACAAATGCTGTGTTAATATATGACTTTTTTAATCTTATGGACTAAATGCAGCTGAACAAAGATGAATGTTTCTTTCTTTCATCTTTTATTTATTATTATTATTTTTTTTAATTTGGTATTTTTTTTTTTCAAATATTAACACTTTCATTATTCATTTAAATTAAAATTATTATGCTTAAGAAATTTTAATTTTTCACATTTATAAAGCACTTGTTTCTTAGCATTTTGATTTATTTTTTTCATTCAATTTAATGTTCTCATTTTTATTCCTAACTTGATTTTAATTTCAATTAACTGAAGATAATTTTAAATTACTATAATATTTTATTTTAATCAATCCAATCTTCTTAATACATTAAACTATGCTAAATATTTATCTTGAGAATAAATCACGAGTTTATTGATGAAAGTCATTAAGTATCATTTAAGAAAATCAAATAACTAATGACTTTGACGTATTTTTCTTATGTGAATTCAGAACATTGTGCACTTAGTGTAACTAATTTTGATTTATAAAAGCATTTTTATTTACTATTTTTGTTTTTGCATCGATAAATAAAATTAGAATTGATAGAAAAATACTAATAAGTTTAGTTCTATCAAAAATTTATTTAGTGATTTTTTGCTATTAATTGATGATTTATTTATGCTCTCTGATGTTATAATTTTATACATTATTTCAGAGTTGAACCTGCGCTTGTCGTGTGGAGCTTAATACTTTGCCTGATCGGTCGAGCGTGCAACATATTTCCATTGGCCATCCTGTGTAACAAGTTCCGTGAGCACAAGATCACCAAAAAGATGATGTTCATTATGTGGTTCAGTGGTGAGTAGGTTGTTTAACATAATCTTTCAATATGAGAATTGGAAAAGGTTTGAAAGTATTATTTTGGTTTGTTGGGTACAGGAAAACTTTGTTATTAAGCTCTCCAATGCTCCAGATAAAAATAGCTCTGTTACCGAGAAAACTATTAGAAAGAAGTAATAAAAAACAAAACAAAAACTACTGAAATGAATTCAATAATGTGCATAAAAAAATTCACTTAAATTTACATTCTTAGTAATCTAGTTTGAAATAATACAAATCAAATTATTCCGCTTATGCCATTGAATCATAATAAATACACAAATGAATACCCCACAAATAAAAACATTTGAAGACCAACACATCAAAAAATGGTTAAGGAACAACCTCTGGGAATGTGTCTCCTCCCAAAATAAGTTACAAGGAATCAAGAGCACCACCCGATTACGGGAAAGCTGCTTGAGAGAAAACAGAAGAGAAGAGGTGGTGATTGAGAATAGCTCACTCGATACTCACTCATGGACACTTAATTATTCAAGAAGTGGTGAAATGCGAATGGTCTACTCCACTCGCTACTAGGCACATCATCGAGGAATGTCCACAATACTCTGCTGATTTCTCTTCAAGAGGTCTCCCGAGGCAGTTGTCTAACTAGCTCAAGTCTTGGCAGACAATAAATGTTCATTGGATGCAGTGATTGAACTTCTAAAAGAAAACAAGATTTATAGAAAAAAATAAGAATCACAAGAAATATATATTCAGTAGATCAAATTCGTATAATCGCATTTATTATTTGATAGTAATGGTTATGTAATAAATAAATATAAATAAAAAAAATAAAAAAATAACAAACTACCTAAATTGTAAAAGAATATTATAAAAGTTAAGCAATGGCAATATTATTAGTTAGTAATTCTACGGGCGTAATAATCTAGCAATTTATCGCCCTAAAATCTCTATCCTACTTACCTATCTCAAAATAAATAGGTCTATATAATCTATATTCACATGAAGAGTTGATATATATTTTTAGGGATGGGTCCTGTTTTCCAGCTTCAGAAATAACAAGGTTATTACTGCACACTATTCTGAGGCAGTATTGTTGTTGGTAGTATCTTTGAAAAGCAATGGCAAAGATACTTGTTGTTGGTAGTAAAGCCTTCAGGAAAAGCTGTATTGCTTATTCCCAAGCTGCTATTCATGATTGTCAAATAACAGCTGCACTGATTTTGATTCTATTATACCATGTCAAAAAATATTATACAGTATTATTACCTTAATGTAATAATAAAACACCTTACAGTAGTCAATTAAAATTGCAATTTTTATGTAAACTTTTATTTAATTTTAAGACATACAATCAACATTTACAAAAATAACAATAACTCACACAGTGTCCTGGTCACGAGTGTTTCTCTGCTTGAGAGCTAACCATTAAATAAAAAGGTATAACATTGAAATAGTTATAATTAGCAGAGTTATAGCAAAGTTTTACTGTATTTGGTTTGTGCATAGTGGTTTATTGCAAACAGATGTTACTATGGTATTATTCCAATGCTAATTTGGTTTTCTGATTTTTATTTAGGATTGCGGGGTGCTATATCTTATGCTTTGTCACTTCATTTGGAATTCAGCGATGAAACTAGACATGTTATCATCACAACTACGCTTATAATCGTTCTTGTGACAACTCTTCTCTTTGGAGGATCCACCATGCCACTGATGAAGGTATGTAATGCCATAAAACATAGCCCATATGAAAAACAGGAAAATTCAAGGAATTTTATTATTCTTGCTAAATAAAAATAAAACAACAGTATTAAAAAGTAGATTCAAACAATTTATTTTTCTATGACCCCCATACCTTTCTATTTCTGCCATACTGAGCAGTTATTCTGATTCACAGACTCTTGTAAACACTCTGTGTATAGTTGGTATTTGTTTTATTAGGGTGTCTTATAAGTTGCTTTTTTTTTTTTTTTTTTTTTTTTTTTTTTTTTTTTTTTTTTTTTTTTTTTTTTTATTATTCCAAGAGAAAATATTTTAAAAGAGGCTTGGTTACCAATGTAATGAACTTTGAAAGAGGTGTTAGATGACTGAAATTGATTCTATAAACGGACAGTAGGTAAGCCTGTATATTTACAAACATAGCTGGATCAAGGTCATATATAGTGAAGCGAGGACAAAACTTTGGACATCCTAATATATTTATTTTTTTATTTCATTAAGTTGTTATTAATTTCATCAGTCAATATATTATACTATTTGTATATTTCAGCTTCTTCAAGGAACCAAAAAGCCAATCATTGGTAGTAGGAGCCGCAGGAAACGCAAGGAAAAAGCACTATCTCTGAGTAAAACCAAGGAGTGGGTAAGTGATGCATTGAACGGTTTTTAATCATTTAGATACTAATTCCTGCCTGCTGTATATTAAACTATGAATAATAATTAATATGTATTAATCTAAAATTAGTTCTTTAACAAATCAACAATTAGAAATTATGTTTGACATAATTTCGATACTTCATTGTAATATATGCTTAAACTGTAGCTAGTAATCTACATCGTTGTAGTATGTTAACTTATAGATTATTCATGTTGGAATATCCTTAACTGTATAACTGCTTATTTATACATTTTTTTCTTAAATTTTAAAATTTTATTGCAACTTTAATAAAAGTGGTTGAAAAATATAGGTGGTTTCAAAACTAATAGTGATAAGTCTGGGGATGGAGATAGAATAAGTTGGATTCTGACTTACAGGAATTTGATGCAGATATCAATGCGTAATTCAGGACGCCGTGGAATGTTTTGAGATTAAAAAAAAAAAACCTGTACCACTACAACCCATGAAGGGTCATGGGCTTAGTACTATTTAACGAAAGTACTGTTTCTTGGTCAACGATTATACAATAAGGTGATTTGACCGAGATCATACTCAACTGCTAGGTTGAATATCGTACCCGTCAACCTGACATATGAATCTAACGATATAAAAATAGTCACGAGTTCGCGTCCCGGTGCCGAGGGAGTCTTTTAAATCCCCACCCACAGCTCCTGGCCCGGGAAAACCCCGTATAGCCTTAACGGCGAGGAAGGGGAGGATCCAAAAAAAAAAAAAAAAGGTTGAGAGATCACCTCCTTAATTAATTATTTAATTAAGGGTATCCACTTAAGGTTGGATGTGCGTTCCCCAGGAGAGTCTCCTGTCACAGGATCATCCCTTCTCTACAATGTTTTGAGGTAGTGCAAGATTAAACACTGCTTGCTCCTCAGATCCATACTAATTCTAGTGATTTCCTAAAAAGAATATATTATGCTTGATTAATATCAAGACAATCTATTTAATACACATAATTAGTGAAACTTCTTACTTAATAATGTCAAATAACTGAAGTAACAGTTTGCTTAATCAATAAATTATGTTGTTCTGTATGAAAATATATCTTCAATACTGCTCTTATATAGTATTGTATTTGTAGTGACCTACATGGTTGATGATGAATAGCAAGATCCTTGATCTGTTGTTCTGTCACTTATTAAGAGTGTAATAAAGTAAAGAAACCATACTTGGATAAGAATTTCATCATTGCTATAGTGATATTTGTATCTCCACAAAACGTTATTTTTATGAAACTTATCAAAGAGTTTCTTTCTATATTATCCGAGATGCCCCAAGTGATCTCAGAACTCCTTTTCTGTGTTCAATTTTTCATGAGTTCCTCCCCTCCTCCGAAAATTCCTAATTTAAAATCCTCTCTGACACCGGGATGCGAACTCTTACTTTTTAATCTCTCATAACTTCGGTTATCTGGTTGCTGGGCAACTTGCGGTGCTGTTGACATGCGTTAGCCCATTCGGCCACCCTGCCCCCAACGGAAACCTTATTTGTATAAAATGTACTGTTTTTGAGATGGAAACCCTTTCTCGAAAACAGTAAATTTTAGTGGTCTAAAAAATAAGGATCCATTAAGGTTCTTTTGGATCCTTACCTTATAAAAAACAATTTAACCCATTTCGATCTGTTGACTTAGCTCTATTTGAGTTTTAAAATCTCCCACTTTTATGACTTTTATTGTCTTTACTAGTTGTAAAATTTTGTTTCCCAATTATGATTAGTCACTCCTTTATAAAGTTAGTTTTCTTTTGATACCCCGTTTATCAAAATCCATTGCTCTGGAAGGTCAGAAAAGGAACTGTATATTACCATATCCTATATAATAATACTTTATTTATTCTAGATCAAGTCGCTTTAGAATAATACAGAAAATCAGAAATTTGGGATTATGGAACTTCAGAGATTCATAAAAAATCCCAAAGTAAATAAATTGTAATAATAAAAAAAAGTATAACTTGCTTTCTAACTTGAGAAAAATTAAATTATATAAAAAAAAATGTTAAAAGCATAGAGTAAAAATAATTAAGAACGATCTAATAATTTATATACCTAAATTCGCAAATATCAAGACCTTGGTGAGGAGGTCAAACAATTGTATAAACTTGATAAAGTGAGGGTTTTGCTGTTTTCATCTCTGCAAATGGTTTGATTCCGGACACAACAGTGAACTCCATGAAGGAATTGGGCCTTTCAATAAATTGTTTGGAGTTAATGCAGAAAGTGTTGTTATTCGGTACTACGAGTATTGTTAAAAAATTTATGAATACAACAGAATACTTTTTGTAGCCTACCTTTGACTTAAGTCCGGGTAATGTGCTGTAATCAGCAAATGCTTTGAAACAAGGGATTTCCCCAAATAAAACAAAATAAAATAATAACAACAAGCAGTATCGTCAGGAAATTCACAAATATTAAAGAATTTTCAAAAATATATAAATGTAATTTTTGGTTGACGTACTTGGTCCCCAACTATTACGTATAATAAACACCATTGTATATGTGAAATAAACAAATAATAATACTTTAGTATGAGATATATGAATAAGGATCTAGAGGAGTCCACAGTATAATTAAGGGATGATTTATGAGAATAAAATTATGACAAATCGTTTTTTTTTTTTTTTAATTGTATGATAGAAGGATCTGAAGATGGAATAATAAAGTGATCCCGAAACATCATAAAAATAAAGAAAAAATTTGTTGGGAGATTAAAACTGTTACTTAATTTTATTCATATACCTCAGATAAATAAACATCTCCCTTAGGACTTATGAACAAATAATACTTTATTAATTCTTGGACAAGTCTCTTTTGAATTATATAGAAAAACAGAAATTTGGGCTACGTAGCCTCAGAGATACATAAAAAATCATAAAGTAAATAAATTTTTATAATAAAAAAGTATAAGTTGCTTTCTAACTTAAGAAAAATTAAATTTTATATAGTCACTCAATAGAAATGAGACCGACAACATGTGGATTGACAATGATAAGTTAAAGGTGAACATGATAATCGTGATTCATTTTATTATGAGTAGAGACATGTAATTCGCATAAGAAGTGAAATGGACAGGTACATGATGGACTTGAAAATGGCTCGACAAGCCGAAACGTTGTAATAAGATGTAGTCATTAGGTTGACGAAATTAAAAATTGGTGTAAAGTGGCTTAAATAAATAAATTGGTAACTAAATTATATAAGTTAAGAAAAAAGAATTAAAAATGATCTAATAATCTTATAAGGACTGAATGGATAAGAAATGGTAGAACTGGTGGAATTTAAAGGTTGGGAAGGTGTTGTTGTGGCGAATGTAGGAAGAGATGGAGTTCCATAGGAATGAGGATGTCAAAAGCACCGGTTTGGTGGACCCTTAAACATAAATGCGCAAACTGGAAACGGGTATTGCGGGAACGAACAGAGGATTTGATTTAATATATATGTAGATACTATTCAGATAAAATTGGTACAAGACAGGTCTCTGGTCCTTTTCATTAACTTATTAGTGTTCAACTTGTCTTTTAATTTTTGGGTATATTTCATCAGTTATGTGTGTTTAATAGCCTTTAGTTCATATGAATTAACTTGTTTCCCTAATATCGTCTGTATGTAAAATTTATTAGAAAGAAAAAGTTCCATATCTAATGTGGGAATTCTTACAACTTGTATGCTAGTTTAACTTAATTATAATAACCAATGGTTATAGTCACTTTTTTTTTGTTCACTATTATTTTCATTTTTAATATTTTACTAAGGAAGATTGAATAAAATATCAATGTTTTGTTTTATTTACTTCATATTAATTTGCAATCAGTCAATTTTTTTTTTTTTTTTTGTATTTTGCAAAATAAAAAAATTGACTATTGATTTTTTTTTAAACATGTTATTATTTTTTTCTAAAAGATAATCAGTCCCGAAGAGCCTTCAACAAGCGATTTAAGTCAACTATGTCCGAGCCCGTCCTTTTACGGAACCCTAGCTGTAGCGTTTGACAAATGCCGTGATTCTTTGTTCTATATTTCTCAATTTCAGTTAGAGAAAGTAAGTTTGTTAATTTATATTCATTTAGTGCGTTGTTTATATGTCACAGGTGTCAGGAAATTTGTGAGTATTATTTGTAACTAACTTTATAATTACTATTTTTGTTACTTTTGAAAGTAACCTAACAACCTTTCTTCAAAAATTGAGAGAGTTTCAACATAGTTGACTATGATCAAAAGTTTATTATGAAGGAAAAGCGTTTTTATTTTCTAACTATATTTGTATATATATATACAAGTACTGGATAAAGTTAGTTCATTATATTTATTTATATTTCCAACAGGCCATGAATTGTCATTATTTTTTATTCTCTTCTCCTCTTCACTCCTTTTCTTTAAGTATTCCATTCTTTTATAATTAAGTGCCCTTTTCAGTTCATTTTCTGTTTTTGTTTTTTTTATCTTCCACAAGAATCTTTAGTTTATTGATTTGTTTCCTTACTTCATATCTAACAATAATAATACTTTTGTATGAGGTATATGAATAAAGATCTAGAAGAGTCCACAATATAATTAAGGGATGATTTATGAATATAAAAGTATAACAAATCTTTTTTTTTTTTGTTAATTAAATGTTAGAAAAACTTTGTTGGGAGAGTATACAGTTACTTAATTGTATTCATATACCTCAGATAAATGAACATCTCCCTTAGGACTTATGAACAAATTATACTTCATTTATTCTAGGACAAGTCTCTTTAGAAAAATACAGAAAAACAGTAATTTTGGCTACGGAGCCTCAGAGATACATAAAAAATCACAAAGTAAATAAATTGTCATAATAAAAAAAGTATAAGTTGCTTTCTAACTTAAGAAAAGTTAAATTATATAAGTTAAGAAAAAAATATTAAAAACAAAATAAAAATAATTAAGAACGATCTAATAATCTTATGGGCTCTGAATGGATAAGAAATGGTTGAACAGGCGGAATTTAAAGGTAGGGAGTGTGTTGGAGCGGCGAATGTAGGAAGTATAAATATAAATCCAATAAATTAACAAATCCAAATAATTTTTTTTTTTTTTTCTAACCTTCCAAAATAAATATAAATAAATTATACATAAATCCAAAGACCGGGAATGGATATTGCGGCAACAGCCTCTGTTGCTAATTTTAAGTTTTTGAATTTCTTCTTTTATTTGTTTATTACAACCACCCAAATTTTTTTCATGTTGATTATAATCATATAATTATTTTCTCAAAAACCCGTATATTGGCCCTGAAAGAATTCATTGTTGCCATTATGTGCATAGAATTTCAGCCTTCTTTTCCATATTACAGTTTGGAGATTTTCTATTTTCCCATAAAATGTTTTTTTTTCTTCAAAGAATAGAAAACTTTTTTTTTCTTTGCCACAATTGAAATATATTTTTGTTACACCAGATTATCTGTTTGATGAATTTCCCATCCTGAGAGTTCTGAAGAAGAGAATCTGTTATGACTGGATTGGCTTACGTATTAAGATTTTCCAACTGTTAAACAATCTTGTTACAGGTATTTTAATCCTGTTGAAATACCAAGTTAAAGGCTCATACCACTGCTGTAGATTGCAGGATCATTTTCACTGTCAGCGACAATTGTACTTATATAATTTTTTTAGCTACTTCTGGGAGAGTACCAATCCTTATAGTTCACCGTAAGTTATTGAGACAGTGTTAAGGTATTCATCTTAATTGATGAGCTTATGAGCTGTTTTTTATGTTAGTTAATAATCAATCATTTATATTTTTCCTTTTTTCTGAGAAGTTGTATGATATTCTTTGTTATTTGGCAATGATTACTTCCAATTAACAACAATTGAATTTATTTGTTGTATTATCAAATTGCATGTTTACAAGTTAACATTTCGGGACATTTACTTCCATCTTCAGTACCACAATCCCAATGATCTTGTGGATACATGGCTTAAATCATAAATGGATAATATGCTCCATCGTCAGGTTCTAATTCAAGTTATAATAAATCAAGGTATATAACATCCAGAGCAACATCTTGCTTTTAGACTAATTATTGGGTGTCTGGGGGAGGGGTAGGAGAGGGGAAGGTGCCCTCCCCAGGGCAGACAACCAGTTTATTATAACTTGAATTAGAACCTGACGATGGAGCACGTTAGATTTAAGCCATGTATCCACAAGATCATTGAGATTGTGGTACTGAAGATGGAAGTAAATGTCCCAAAACGTTAACTTGTAAACATGCAATTTGTTAATACAACAAATAAATTCAATTGTTAATTGAAAGTAATCATTGCCAAATAACAATCATTTATATTTTTTGAGTAGTTGGCTTATTGGTCAGGTTAGGTTTTCAATTCAATTACAATTGATATGTATTTATTAATCTTTCAGAGATTTATTTCCATCTTCAAAGCATCATGTTTCAATTTAAAAAAAAAAATCCATAATCTGACATTTCACAATCTTTAGATTTCATCACATTTTTGTTGAGTAAGCTTTGCAATAATGTCGGTGTTTTCTTATTTCCATGACAACATTGTCACTACAATTAAAACATAAGTATGACTTGCTAATTTTGTCCAATACTCTGTATGTATATATATGTATAAATATTATTTGATACATAATTAATTAAAATTGTATATTGTAACTTCAAAATAAATTTAAAAATATTTATATGAAGGACACAATTAGTTTCACTTATTAACGATAATAATTTGGTGGAGGGTAAAATATTTTACTCTTTTTAATCAGATAACTACTACCTCTTCTTAAATCATGTATTTTAAATTAATTAATAATTTTCATACCATAATTTCTGAGTAGTTGTTATCATTGCTGCCTGTAAATCATATAAATCATGGAGGCAGATTGAATTGTGAAGACTTTTTTATTTTTCAGCAAACTTACTCTTCTCCACAGTATTATACTTTTTACTTTATTTCTTAATTTTTCTTACATTTTAACCTGTTATTTATTTATGCAAACATTAACAATCTATTATATATAAATTAAAATAATGGTATGTATGTTATACTCAATCACTGAAATTGTACTATGACTGAATTTTTTATCTACAACGTAATATGGAAAAAACGAAAAATCAATTTTTTTTTATACCATATAAATTTAATTGTTGTGTGAAATGAAATACCTTGAATGCATTGTTGTTAAACATAAAAGTTGATTTCACTAGCTGTTTCGGCAGCAGAACAAGTTTTTTTTCCAATCGTGTCTTAAAATAATATTGTGTGTATTTTGGTTTTTCCATGTCTAGTTGTGGGTTGAAATTTCAGTCGGATTTAGTAATTGAGCGTAAAATATTTTATTTTTTTTTTAGATTTTATCGTCCAATTAAGTGTTAGTTTTTGGTGATTGTTTCGATGTAAGAACTGACGAAAGTTTAATTTCTTATTCTGATAATTCTTATATTTCTCATAATTTGTAATTTTTTTCACTGTTCCAGCTTTACTTGGAATGTTTTTTATCATTGTACTATTTTATTTCAATTTCCTAATTATTTCTTTTTTGGCTAATCAATTAATTTACCCAGGCTTGTTAATATGAAACTGTAATTTTCTTATAGAAAATGCATTGTTTTTTTCATAAAAAATATTTTATTAAAAATATTGTCTATTGCTAGCTAAACATTTTTCCCATCTCTGGCAATTTATGGATTTCATAAAGCCATTTTCGTACATTTTAATAAGAAGTGAAGCGCTGCTAAGCAAATGCATGCCCCATCAATGCAAATAAATAGTTGTCGGATGGAGCTATTTCTAGTGAGTAAGCCAAATGCGCTGGTATTTCCCAACTATATGCCTTAATCGCTTTCTTCATTGGGTTGACTGTGTGTGATGGTGCATTATCATGAATCTAAATCACTTAGTGTTGTCAACACTTTATTCAAATTTATTATTTATTGTGGATGGCAGTCAGTAGTAACAATTTTGGCAGGATTTAGTGGCTCCTAACCCACCCCTCTCCTCCCACACATACAGCGCACACCCACTTCTTAATTTTTCAAGGCAAAATTGCCATTTTTGAATTTTTTTTAAACCATCCAAAGCACTGTGATTTACCTTTGATGGTTTGTTAAGCATTTTATGTGATTCTACAGCAGTTTTAAATCGACAAGTTTAACACTATTAAAATGTTGCCGTTACGTGAAGTTTGTATTGTTGTGAGCTGTCGAACAAATAAAATAGTGCTAATAATAAGGTTTAATAGTGACTACATTAACAACAAAAGCCATCTAGGGATGAATTCCAGTTCCATATTTATACACCTGGGAAATATTCTTTCATTAAAATACTATTATCTATATATTTTGTTTATTTTATTTTTTTTAAATAGAGTGATACATTTTATATTAATTTGAAGCTTCTGATTTCTTCTTTGCTATGTATTTGCAAAATTTTATATTATTTATTAATTTAGCTAATTAATTTTTTACTCTAATGTCAATCAGTAAAATTAAATTAAATTAGACTTGCTAATACTTTTCTTAAATTAATCTTTTAATGAAAAATCAACTGTAGTTTTGATTGATGTGAAGTATTAATTTTATACTGTTTGTAGTTGAGCGAACCACTCACGAATGTTTTCCTTAATTTGTAAAAGATAATCTGTGGTATCTATAAGCTGATTGATTAGCTACTTGTCGATGAGCATAGTATTGGTTGATAAAGGATTAATTAATTTATTTTAATTTATTAATTTTTTTCCTTTTAAAATACCATTTTTTTCTAGACAAAATAATTGTAAAATATAATTGTGATTTTTCAGGGCCAAGCCATCGACTCCGAACACTTATCAGAGTACACAGAGGAGGAGACAATGGAGGTAAATTTTATCCAGTCGAGGATTCGCGGTTTCGCAAAATGGGATCTAAAGTACTTTATACCGTTCTTTACTAGGAGGTTCACCCAACAGGTAATTCATTCAAAATATTTTTAAATAATATTTATGATAGACAGGAATAACTCACATAGACCTTGCTATGGACTGTTATACTGACGGATCCTTCATCCATCAAGGATCAGGGACTGAGAAAGGATAAACCTAATGAAGGAATATTCATGTCTCTAGGTAGACAAACGTCTATCTTTCAGGTCGGAGATTTACCTATCGATCTGTGCCGAATCACTAATAAGGGAGTGCATTATGAGTAGATTGATTACAATATATATGCGGATAGTCAAGTGACAATCGAAGCCCTGAATAGTTATGCAACTTGATCCAAGTTGGTAGATGAGTTTAAAGTAATCCGAACCTTCTCTTTAGTGCCGATGAGGTGAGGGCAGAATGGGTACCAGAGCCCATCTGTAGGATAAGCATTGGCTACGCCAAAAGGCTTATTAAGGCAAATGCTGATAATAAATTTAGACTATATTGGGAACAGTTTAGAAAACAAACTCATTCTAAGTTTTTCCTAGTAGGAACCTGTCGCAAGAGAATCAAATCGCTTATAATGGACAGGAACACCATTAGGTGTGTGACAGGACTGTACACTGATCACTGTCGAATCAATAAGCACATCTTGAATCCCGTTGAATCTTATAACTTAAATCTTAAATGAATGACTCTTAAATCCCGTTACTACTATCATTTCTTATCTAGCTCTCCTAATAGCCACGTGGGCTATTCTCAGACAACTGACCATTGGTAATACACCTCAGTCCCAGTCCATTTCCGATTCTGCCGATAACCTCAACGCTCACTTTGTCTGCTGCCCTTTCACAACCACAACTCCTGCGGCCTATCCAGCTCCCATGTTTTCCTCTTTTAATCCTAATCACTTATTTTTTCCCCACATTACTCCTGATGAGCTCCTAAACTCCATACAGGAATCCCATACTAACGATTATGGTCCCGATAACATTCCAGTCAGACTGATCAAATCCGCACTACCATCCATTCTTCCAATCCTTTATAATATCTATAATTATTCTCTTCAAAATGCTACCTTCCCTACATCCTGGAATACCGCCATAGTACGCCCCTGTTGTTTCTGTTATTTTAATTTTCTCTATTTATATTATGTACTCTTATTATGTATGTATATATTTAGACCGTATGTATATTTCCGCTTTTCATGTCTTTTTCTCTTTTTCAGTCTGTATTTTTTACTTTTAAATAACCAATATTGTAAATATCTACTCTATTTATGACCACTTACGCATATATTCAGCACTAATAATTTGTTCTAAAGGGACAACAGTCCCAGAATAATAAAATATATTTTCATTTCATATTTTACTTGGTCTTAAGTGAGACTCTGACCTGTAGGCTGTGTAACCTGGAGGATGAAACAGCTTATCAAATTATTATTAGATGTGATAATTTGGCTAGATTGCGATACTTTCACTTTGGATGTGATCGTATCACTGACCCTATGTGTTATGAAATAATAGATCCTATTAGTATTAAAAAGTTTACAAAGGCATCTGGCCTGTTTTAATAGAGTTTAGGATGATACACAATGGCCTCCATGAGGCCATGGAATACTCCACATTGGAAACAAAAAAAAAAATCATTTCAAATTTTATATTTTCCTAAATGTATATGGGATGATTGACATATTTAAAATTAATTGAGATTTAAGAATCAATTTGTTCATTTGGTACAAGAAGTGTGCCAAAATAAAAAAAAAAATCCAGTGTTTCAACTGCCTCCCGCAGTCCCACATCCAACGCCCTGAAGACGACCTGAAAAGTGGGTCGAAACGTCGGCAAAAATTAAAATTATTTATATATTTTAATTTTTTTTATTTATTTGACCGCACCCTCGACTAACTCCTCATACAAAAAAAATTATTTTCTCTTTTTAGCTTTAAAGACTTCTATATTTAACTTTACCTATATTTCTTTAAGAATTATCAATCATTTTTTTTTTTAATTGACAGGTTTGAATTCATTGATTAAATTTGTAGCTAATAAAATTGATATTTCATAGGAACTTAAGGACTGTAAGTCGCAGATGACCGACCTCACGAACCAATGGTACCAAGCAATCAGGATCTCGCCCAACGAATCAGACGAGGAGCAGCAGCCTAGCTGACAGCAGCAGGGAGTAGAGAATCCTTTCGCCCAAGCCTAAAAGAATTTTTCTAATTCAGAAAATATAGAGAATATAAATTTTATTAATTTAATTTTAATTTAAATCTCTTCATTATATCGAACGTTGTTTTTATTTTAAGAATTTCAAAAAAAATTATTCTGTCCAATAGCCTTTAAACATTCTATATTGATTCAAAGATTTCCATTACACAAAATCATATAAATTTTATGTGAAATGCTTTGGGGAAAAAAAATCTATTGTATATATGTTATGTATAAAATGGTACTACATTCTTTGTATATTACAAATACTATAATATGTATTTGTATAATGTATGGCACAAATATTATTTTATATTTGAAACATTCGGATTAAAATTGTTTCTTTTATTATGGGTGGGGAAGTGCAATAAAGGATGGTCAGCAATTTGTAAAAGTTTTAAAAAGAAGTGTTTTAAGCTGTCCACATACCGTCGTTACCCATTAGAAATGTGAAAATAGGTTTCACTCTCGCCAAGATTAACGAAAAATGGTTCTTGTTTCATGTTCGTAAAAAGAATCTTCAAGTTAACGTCAAGATGGCTACAAGTTTTGGATTGCTTTAAAAATGTTCAATTCTTCGTTTAAAAGTATCGATTAGGATATACTGCACATTTGCAAGATAAGTTACACAACTTAAAAATAAATAACATTTGAGAAAAAATTTATTTAAACATATTAGATAACTTATTTTTATGGTTTCTATAAATTTTAGGCCGTCACCAAAAATTCTTTTTATTCATATTAAATTTATTTTTCTCCAATATTTAGCTACTACAGTAGTTCTTTTCAAGGGTACTCAATGTTCTTATATATGGTGTCTTCAAGGAATATATAACCCCTTATACTTTAAAGATTTCTTCCTCTTCAATACTCCTTGTCCCATTTTTTGCTCATTTACTAATGCTTGTCATTCATGAAAACTCGGTACTACCTCCTCCCTCTATTGTTTAACATTTTTTTCCAATGCTTAAGATATCTGAAGTTATTTCCGTGCTTGTAAAATACATTTTTGTCAAGAAAAACTAAAAAATCTAGTTAATAATAACTAGATGTGTTTGGATGTCATAGAATGATATGATCTTGTTTTTTTCTGTCATGATGTTACCTGAATTGGCGAAATGTTGAATGGTTAGTTTGTTTTTAAACTAATAACAAGGTTAGGAATGGAATTTTCCAATTATAACCTAACTTAAAAATGATTGATATCATTAAAATATAATTAATGTTAGTGGTTAAAATTATATGAATATAATTATTACATGTATCTGCTGTTTGTCACTATAATGACAATTATGGATAAATATTCAAAGAGAAAAAAAATTATGAGTCTATTTACTATAATTACTGATTTCTGTTATTTGATACTAATTTTCATTACTGTTTAGATGTGACTGGTGTATTTGATTTGAGTGGGGGATATAAACCATACAGTCAATATATAATAAACAGAACAGTTGGTGACTAGTGACCTAAAATTTATTTAAGTAATAAAAAAAAAAACCTTGTGCGGTCTGTCATTCTTTTTTTAAATTTGTATTAATTTAAAAAAAAAATAATAATTTCACTTTTTCTTAGTTTCAATAGTATATATATTTTTTTTTGTAAGTAACCTATAAGCCATTTTTTTATTTATATTTCTTGAATTCAAAAAGAAACTTCTATAATTTTTTTTTTTTATTGTTTAGAAAATGGTTCATGATTTATGAGGCATGGAATCAATAGGAGATAAAAAATATTTGTGATGGCTATTCAGGGTATATTTATTTAATTTTAATATAATATTTCGTTGTTATTAATAATTTATATAAATTTTCAGTCATTCATAACAAGCCTATTAGAAATTTTGATAGTCGATTTTGATTATATTTTTATTAAAGAAGGAATTTTATAAAAAATATTCTTCGAAATCGGAAACCAGAGTTGTTTTCAGTATTATTTTTCTGTTGTAGTTGTTTAGTTATATGTGCACTTATTGTTACTGATTCTTGCCTTTTTCGACTATTGGTGCTAGTCCAGTTAGGAATTATTGTTAATTATGATATTTTCAAATAAGTCATTAGTTTTTTTGAAAATACATTTTAAAATTATTTTATAGAATGAAAAAAAAAATCCTATTCATTGAAATTTATTTTTAATAAATAATTCATTTCCAAATAATTCCTTATAGTTTAAAAAAATAAGTATTGTACTTGGAGGAACCGGAAAGTAATGTTTTCTTACATTAAATTCAAACACCTAAATTTAACAAGTTTTTATTTTTAACCTATGATATAATCACCCTCATTATTATCAACCTTTTGCCATTTAGTGTACAAATCGATAAAAATTGGAATTCGAGCAAATTATATACAGATGGAATTTTTGATATCTTTCAGATTTTCAAATCTTTCACCATTTAAAAAGTATCATAGAGGTTCCATTTTTCATGTCCTGTGATCAAGCGATCAAAAAATGCTTCTGTATAGTGTCGTTGGAGCAATAAGTTTCATGTGGTGGATCTGTGGAGACAGTGGATGGTTGATCAAGGTCGGTAATGACTATTTGATAATTCCTCGATTGTCTGACACATATTTGCTTCCACTTCCGTCCTTAACTCATCATCGTCTAACGTTTATTGTCTACCTGATCAATATGAGTTAGAAATATCAAAATTACCGAATTTTAACTTGGAAAACCACCCTTGGCATTTACGAATGTCTAATGCGTTTTTCTCTTGCAAAACTCAAAATACATGCAATGAGGGATATGTACGTCTTCTGGTATTTGACTGGCTATTTCACCTTAAATCGCAAAAAAAGATTTTAATTATTTACAAATAAACTATTCACTCTAACCTTACAATGTCTATTCCACGACTTTGATGTACACAATCAGCTAATAAATGACATCAAATAGTGAAATGCACATAAACGACATTACTTTCCTGTCCCCTTAATATATATCAAGTCACATTTTACATAATTACACATTTTACACATTTTATATAGTCAGTCTTTCATAAACTGAATGTTGATAACTTTTTTCTTAAAAGTCTGTTATTACATATTTTTATTTATGGTATATAAAATTATATTTATTTTCTTTTAATCGAAATAAATACTAAACTTTATATTTTTTGACTGGAGAGATTAGGTTTACATAATTCCAAATATGAATATAAATGTTTATTTCATAAATATTTTTTTAAATTTATAATTTTATTTATAAGAAGAGAGTCTATTGAAATTCCAAAAATATCACTAGCTTTGGATCTGATGATTCTTACCATTGTGTTAGAAACAAATTTCACTTTTGTTTTTTATTGAGTTGTATAAGTTTTTCTTATTCAAATAAGTAGGAACTCTAACTTTTTATTGCTGTTTTTTAATTATATCTTTATTTGCAAAACAAGAATTCAAATTCTTTTAATTTCTTTATTTTTTTTTTAAATTTTAAATAGTGGGAAAATAAAAAAAAAAAACTGGTACATAATTGTATTGTTTAATGTCATAATAGTAGAGGAAATTAATTATGCCAGAATTGGTCTGGATGTTTTGGCGTACCTAACACTTGACAAGCTCTTTTTGGTTAAGTATGATGACTTACTTTCAGTCTTACTTTAATTTTTACTTTCAATCTTATTAATTCTTGAAATCAGCATTATTGACAACATTTTTGTATTTTGTGATTTATAGTATACTGAACTTTGTAAATTAATTTTTGTGAGTATAACTTATAAAAGTTAACATTTATGGCACTAATAGTCCGTGGTACAGACCCCTTTTTATCAAATTATTAACATCCACCTGAAACTTTGTGAATAGAGCATCATCTCATCGTAACCTACAACTATTTTATTTATGTAAACTCTTGGAATTGGGGCGTTTTAGTCTGGAGGTCGACAAACTTCGTCTATTTAATTAGGTACTAAAAACTCGTAAATATCCATTTGATTTCCACTTGAATCGTAAGATAATTTTATCACAAAATCGAGAAAAAAATGTGGTCTACAATAATATTGGGCCGTTTGACCACAATAATATCGTTGTTTTATCGTTTAAGGAGTATGTATAGGTTACGCCAAACAGCTCAATATTTTTGAAGCAACCTTTTTTTCTCGATTTTGTGCTCAAATTATCTTACTATTCAAATGGAAAGCAAATGGGTATTTACGAGGTTTTACTACTTAGTTAAATAGACAAAGTTTACCAAACTGCAGATTGTAAACGCCCCTAGAAGATTCCGAGAATTTTTGTAGATATAATAGTTGTAGATTACGATAAAAAGAAGATATTTATGAAGTTTCAGGCAAATGTTAATAATTTGATAAAGAGGGGTCTGTACCACGGACTGTAACACCCGTTCAAATGCTTTAAAATTTCATGAAATGTGTATTTTCTTTATTATTGTTTGAAATGTGTGATTTAGTTTTATAAGATGAAGTAGGGAGATTAGTGACACTGAATAAACTAATGGTTTTTATTTATTGGTGGGGGAATATAAGGCAGTTTTGGAAAAAGCCTTTCTTCAACACTTTTCTTTTTAGTAAATTAGTCGCTTTTCATTATCGTAGACAACTTTTGTCTCTGATAAAATTAATTTTAGTAATTAGTATTGTATTAATTTTGATTTTGTAATTAATGGTAAAATATGTATGTGTGTAAATATGTATTGATGAAATAATTTTGGTAAGATTTGTGTAAATCCTTTTTATAACACTAATGTGAATACATACTTGTGTTGATTGAATAGTCAAAATTCATCCAGATATGCAACTGTGCTTGTGCTTTGTCTGAATTCATGGTGAAACTAACTATATATGAATATGAATGGACATTTAAATAATCATTGATTGATGTGCCAAATATTGGTTCTTTAAAAATTATAAAATATAATAATGTATATTTAATATAATAAGCATGGAAATTTAGATGTTTGCCTTGTTATTCACAATGGACATGAAGTTTTATAATTAGGGAAAAATATGATAGCGTCGATGTTTTCCATATTCAGTTCTGAGCATTATTATCACTATATGGTGTGATGGTTTTATCATACTCAATCCGCTTTAATGCTTTTTAAAATAAAGTTTGCTATATTTATAAAGTAGATATCTGCATGAGCAAAAGACTGTTTTAAAGCAC